ATTAAGATAGTGCTTTTTGAGTTTCTTATCTCAAATAGATCAGATTTTGTGAGCTGCTTCCTACACAAACCTGAAGCAAAGTATTTTTATTTAAAAGAAAATTCTGTTGATTTGAATCAGAAGCAAAAGGCTTTCTTCTTTTCTGACACTTTGCCTTTGATTTTTTTTTTGTGAAGTATATAATATATTCTTGCTATAAAAGAAGTAAAAGAAAGGCCAAATTTGGCTAATTTTTCATTTCATGAGATGAATTTGTGGGCTTATGCACTTGCAAGAGCAGCAAGAAGCACTAATTATTATCTGAAGTACTTTTTCAAAAACAGGAAATAGTGGATAAATTAATACTATTTTCTTCACACTAAAGATATTTTGACAGTCTCACATTCATTAATGTATTGATAACCTCATAGACATTGAATGTATACAGATTCTTCCTCTCATTCTTATATCAATTTTAACATATCTAAAGCATATCAACTTTACTAATGTTGTGAAAAACATGTTATAGTCTAACAGTAAAACAAATAAGACATATAAAGTAATATAAAATAAATGTTGGAATGTTCAGGAGATTTATGATAATAGTCACTGAACAATATATAGTACAGATTCAAAGATAAAAACTAAGGTGATAACTCTAGTGTTTATTAAAAATGTAGTATTCATTGTTTATGTTGTTTGCAATTTTCATATTTGTAACAGCAAGATCATCTTTAAAGTGCAGAATCTTGACTAGCAAAAACGCTAATGTTTACTTTTGTACATATTCACTAAAAGTCTTAGGACCCAATGATTTTGTTGGGTTTAAAAAATATTTCTGTTTCTAATCCAAATAATATGTGTAGGACACAATTAAAGAGGATGTATGTGATTATTCAAAGTCTCTTCTTGAAAGCCCCTTACAAACTATCTTGTGTACCTCCTTCCTTCAGTCCATGTTTTCTTGTTTGCACATCTTGTACTTAAGTCCCTTTAGGCATTCTCTCCTGACAGCTGATCAATCCCCACCAATTCTTTAAGTCCCTATTTTCATAACATAATCAGGAGAAACCTCTGGTGTGATTCTGTCCCAACTAAATGGCAATGATCCCTGTGAACTTTCATAGCTGTTCTTTCTACGTCTTTTGGGGCAAGATGGTAAAGCTCCCCTTGACCATGACCAGAGTCTATGAGTTTCTAATATATAGGAACAATCTTATGGTGGTACTCTGGTTATGCTTTATCACAAAGAAAAGATACAAAATAAAATAAGCTAAATGAAAAGGCACATGGGGTGAAGTCAAGAGGAATTTGTACCAATTTTCCAAAGGTTCATCTCAGCAAAGTCACACAGGAAGGGCTTCATTTTTGCAGCAAAACATTGTAAAACTTGTGACGCACTGTCTACCAGGGACACTGTTACAGAGTCATTGCCCAGGGTTGTATACTTGTGGCTGGTTCTTAAACGTTCATTTGCCTAGCATGTTAATATTTCAGACTCCAGGATGAAGCTACCTGATTAGGATAATCCATAATGATTGTAATTTAGGTACAGTGACTTATTCCTATCAGGTGGGTTGGTGTTCCATCCCTGGAATCCTAGTTCTCATATGACAGCAAGGGCCAAACTTGCCAGCAGGACTTTCTAGCAGCAAGATATTATACAGTTCAACTTTACACACACACACACACACACACACACACACACACACACACGTTTTATATATCATCTAAAATATTTCAGAGTAAAATAAGGAGGCCTGAGTAGAGTTTTTTTTCCCCCTCACTCTAGTATTCCAATAATGAACAAGATTTGAGAAAAGAGACACTGAATGAGAATGATGAATTAGGTCTTCTCATTTGATAATGAACTGCAGGTAACAGGCATGAAAGTAGACATAACAGTTAAGAGGAAGACTTGCCATAAATCCAGGATGGAACCTTTGTATTTTATGTAACTTTATGTATCAAAGCATAGGGGATAGCATAAAAAGATAAAATATTAAAACATCCATTATACATAGTACTAAGACTAGTCTAAGAGAATTTATTATTATTATTATTTATTTTTTGGCAGAACCGGGGATTGAACTCAGGCCCTTGCGCTTACCAGGGAAGCGCTTATTCCACTGAGCCATCTCCCCAGCTCCGAATTTATTATTTTTAAATATAAGCATACATTTTAAGGAAATAGGGATATACAATATCTTTGGCAATCACTGACGCATTCCTTAATCCTCTCTGTAATTTGTTATATTTTGACTAAAATGCATACATTATAGAGCACGTGTTAAGTTCACCTGCTCAAAAAAGAGAATGAGCATTTGCATCCCTAAGATATAAATGTTAAGAAACTCCTAATTATAATATCTAATACATAGTGCCAAACAACATCTCAGCACCATTCCAAGAGGAGGATGCTGTAGTTAATTCTAGTCTTAGAGATAAGGTTATAAAAGAAGTTAAAAAAACTGTTATGTAGGAACTCTAATATCCTTCTTGATTCTTCCATTATAGTGATTCTCACAACACTGAACTGTTGTCTTTTTCAAAATAAATCACTTTGATACTAATAGAGAAAAATACTTTGTCCTAAGAGGACAAAGTTTTCTTCTCTGACACTTTAAAAGTAAAGAACTCAATTATTTCTAGCTATTCCCACATCATATTTAGAAGATGCTAGTCTTAATGAAGATTTTGTTACTCAATAATTAATAAAAATAGTGAGAAATCAATAGATTATTTGACATTGGTGTTATTCTGAACACAAGTAAAAGGAAAGTTATAATGGCTAAAATAAAATAAACCTATGCACACTGAAATCTGATTCTTCAACCAGTATTTGAGAGTTCAGTTTTTGTTATGATCCAACTAAAGTGGCTGATTAAGAAAAGAGCATTTCACTCTTTTCTCAATGGAATCCAATCAATGTATGTCAGAGCCCATAGAAGGGAAACTACATTTATGATTTTTTTTATTTCTTAAAGGATAAATTGAAGACTACAAGTTATAAACAAGTTGCATTATGTCAAACTCAAACAGCAGTATATAGAAAACATATAGTTTTGATCTTAGATCATGAATTTTTCATAGGGCAGAAGAGTCAGTCCTGTTTACAAGCTTCTACGTTTTACTTGCTCAACATTTATATTCAAGCTCAGAATGATGACAGTGCTCTGCAGCTATGGGTAAAACTCCTCACGATGCAAGAAGGATGACAGGGATGCAAAAGAATAGTGTTAACTGACAACACCTGCATTGCCTCTCAAATCTTTAAATGGACCCAGATAGGATATAACTGAAATGTTTAGTATTATATTAACCAGCTTTCTGTTATATAACAAACACCTGAGCTGGTCAACTTAGACAGAGAAACGCTTAGTTTTAATTCAGAGTTTTGGAGGTTTCAGCGCATATTGCTTTTACGCCCCTGATGAGGGTGTGAGTGGGTGGGGCAACAAAACACTCACCTCATCGCCAGGAAACAAGAGTGGGTAGGAGGAAGGAGGGTCCTACGATCTCTTTCAAGGCCACACCCCAGTGACCTATGAACTTCCCATTAGGGCCCACCTCTGAAAAACTCTAGTATCTGTCAAAAGCCACTCTCTGGGAACCAAATCATGAACATAAGGGTGACTTTCAGAATATATACTGTCAGATTGTAACAAATACTAAGAAGTAAGACACAATTCTCTGAGTCTCTTGAATCTCTACATGTCTTTTAAGCAAACATATTGACACATTTTGTTTAGAAAATCTTTGAGACAATGTTTCTATAGTAAGAAGAATATCAAGGTACAGGTATGGTCCCCTGTGAAATGGACAGACACGCACACTAACTAATAGATGTTAGTAACCATTCCAGTGTGTGTGCACATGCCACCTGGCCTTCGGCATCACTCTCTAGGCCCTGCGCTCAGGAAACCAGCCTAAGAAAATGCGGACTCAGGCAACTGCTCGTATTTTCAACAAATAATAAAGCAGTTTGTTTCTAAAGATAAAACAGAACTAGAAAAAGTCTCTCCACATAGGAGACTGATCTTGTTTCTACAAATGCCTGGAAGTTATTGCTGTTTTGAAGGTGCTAAGCAAGAAAATAATGTGAAATTGCTAATACAATGTTAAAGTAACGTACCTGGGAAGGGTCCTAGTAAGAGAGAGGTGCCAAAAATGCAAATTCAAGCTGTGGTAAATCCATCTTGGTCCTAATTCTATTTTTGAAAACCATAATTTTTCGTTTTGACAAATGACTCTAAATTGCCTCTCGCTTCTCAGGAACCATATCTAGAGACCATACTGCACCTCATGTTGGAGGACAATGCTTCAATTTTGTTTTATAAGTAAGATAAAAATCGATATTATCATTCTTGAGACATAATCTTTTCAACTCTGGTGTCTATAAGAAAGTCTAGGAAGTGTTTTTTTAAAAATATACATTGAGTGTATAATCTAAATGTAACTATACTCATGTCTTTGCTTTAAAGAGAATAATAAAAAAAGCAATAATAATCATACTGAGTTTCCAAACAAGATGATAGGAGATTGACAATGGCTTCTATAGTGTATGCTAGATCTTCAACGTAGTTGCTCAGATTACCATGTGCAGGCATTCTGGCAGCAATAGTAGTTAAACTTCTGTGGAATTGAATCCAGAATTCCAAAATAATAAACTCACAAGAACTATGTCCTAAGTGTTGGTACAGTTTTTGCATTTGTGTGTAATGACCTGATGGTGTCTAAAAGAGAGAAAAACACATTTTGCACTGTAACCCTGAAATCAGTCAGTTCACCTCCTATATGTGATACCAAAAATGAAAAAAAAGTTTATTTTTTTGCATAAAATCATGTCTTTTTGTCACTACAAAAATCTTGAAATAGTAAAAGCTATTTAACTGGAAATAGTATGCAAGTTACATTTGTAGTTCTCATAGATAAAAACAAGAGGTTAAACATTGCACTTATTTGTTGAACTCATGAAATGTAGGAATCAATAAACATGAACATGAACAGGTTTTACCTACTTTTGAAATGTTACTCGATCGACTAGCAGATCGCCCTGGAGACTTGTCATTCTGAAAAATAAAATTAGAAACACTGATTAAAAGGAAGTATTTCAATATCCTTTGATATCACTAAGAAGGGATTGGTATAGGGCAGATATATGGATATTCTTAGTATTGTTTTGATGGTCACGAATACAGAATGATTGCCTATACAGAATGATATTTATTAAAAACATGGAAATGATCACTTCTGTACAAAAATTGTGCAATTTCTTTGAAAATAAAATTAGACAATGAAAGTATCGTTTGCTATTTCCTCTTTCAATTTTGCAACCAGAAACTTGCTTTATAAAATAAACTTGCTTTCCACTCTTTTACAATTTAAAATATCTCCCTTCTACTGTTTATAATTCTTCCTAAATGAAAAGGGTCCATCTTAAATATTGAAAACTACTTAACAATTTACACCTTTGTTCTTGCCTCTTAAAAATTTCTAGTTTAGAAGAAAAAAAGCATAAAAATGGCTTATGAATAATTTTTATTTAGGAAAAAGTCATGGAGCATTAAAGTTGATGGAGACCGGAAGGAGTTGAGCTGTGTCATTTGAGTTTGGGGATGTTGTGTTCTGATGACCACAGAGGCAGCATCTGAGCCCAGGCCAGTGTGGGGCCTGCTCACTGCTCCTGTCTGCTGGTCCTTTGTACATTGCCAACTATTGTCAATGAATAACCTATTAGAAAATCAGAGTATATGAGAATTGTACATAATGCATGTGGAAGTAGGTCACAGTGCACCCCTCCAGTAGAGAGAATAACATTGGAAAAATCAGCACAGAATATAAAAAATGTGTAAAGGTTCTGAATTAACAGTCATTGAAATATTTTAGCAGAGCACACATTTTTGTCTTCTTCTTTTTTTTTTAACTTCTAGAATCAGTCTCAAAGTAGAGCTGAATAGACAACTGCAGGAACTCTTGGCAGAGGTTGCTTTTGACAATGAAGTTGTTAGAACAACTTATGCGTTTGACATTGCCTTACCAAAACTTCCTGAGCGTTTCAGAACCTCAGTGACAGTGGGATATGGCAGATGTGTTACAGTGGAAAAACAATAGCTACATGTCACTGTGTCATTCCCAGGCTTGCAGATATTCAGCTGAGCAGAACTTTTTCCTTTCATGCGACATCCATCTCCCGTGACCACTTATGCCACTGTGAGCCTGTTATTACAGACCAAGATGACTCGGAACAATGCTGTTAGTTCCAGCTCATAAGAGCCCTGTGCTGCAGCTGGGGACGAATGTGGGTGCTGCTAACCACAGACGTTCTTTCCTGATTAGCTTGCACTGGTGATGGAGAGGGACATTTTTCTAGTGACATCTCAACTCTTCTTCTAGAGATGAGCTCGCCAAATCAATCCATCTTCCCTTCTCAGTGATATTCAAGACTTTGACACATTATTGTGTGGCAGAGATATCAATAAGTCACATGATGTAATAGGTTTTGGGGATAGATGTGTTATATTTTGTGGTTTTCTACACTTACAGGGTATTTGAGAATATGATTATGGAACTAGAACTGAATTTCCTGAAGCAAGAATAAAAAAGATAAGAAATTTAATTTGACATTAGATTATTAATTTTTTTAAAAAGAATTAAAAATAGAAAAAAGATCCCATTAGAAATGATATACAGTTTCATTAAACAAAATGGTAACAATTCAACAATGGTTATTACATTGCATGTTGTTGTCTTCAAATTAATTGTTCAGATTACTGAATATAATCATGCAAAATTGGTCAAGAAATTAGAAAGAAAGAAAAAAAGGAAAAAAAAAAGATTAAAATAACTATCCCTAGTGTAAGAACCTGAAAGTAAATTATCCTAAAGGTACAATAGATATTTTGAAAGGGAAAGAAACTGTTCAAATGGAAGGAACAACTTGGATGAGGAAAATGAGAAAAGAAAGAAAGAAGAATGGAAAAAATATATATGTGTATGTAAAGTTTAGCTAGGATAATTGTACTGCTGATTTCAACTTGTCTATTGTATTATCAGTTTTTAAACTACACAGGACTTTGTGATATATTGAATTAAAACTAGGGGTCAGATTCCTTTCATAATTGTGAATGAGTTCATTATAAGATGTTAATAAGCAGGTAATTTCCATAGTCTTCCTGAGCATCTCTCAACCTAATGAGGAAGAAACATATGCTTGATGTCTTAGTATTTCTAAAGGTGTTCTAATGTGCAAGCCAGTGTTTCTCTTTTCTCCTACAAGAAGCTTATGCACCGAAAGAAATAAATGCACTTTGGTATAGTTCAGTGTTTCTAGCGGCCAACTATTTTATTCTTCTGTTTTAGCTCACAGAAAAGACAAGTGCATCAGGTGAGTTAACATACGATTATATGTACCATTACTGTGTTGGCAGTGGTGTGAGTGAGGGACTGGTT